ATTAAAAAATATATCAGATTATAAGATTTTTAAAAGTAAATACCCATGCTGGCACACCTCTCATTTTAAGTATACCAAAATTTAAAATACAAGATTATTAGAATTAATAAAATCCGCAATACGTGATTTTAAACATAAATATTTCAGATTGAAAGATTTTTGAAACTAAAAATCCACGCTGGCATACATCTCATTTGAGAAATACCAAAATTTAAGACATAATATTATTAGAGGATTGCGGACATCCGCAAATCCGCAATACGTTGTTTTAAACAAATATAAATGTCAATAGGAAATCGTGTTTGTCTAACATCGTATTTGTGTCAGAGATAACGCATTGAACCGTGAATGTGACCTTGAAATCTGACATTTATGGCGATTTTAAACTTCACGGATGTTGACAACTCGCTTCTGATCTTTTTGATTGACATTCGCCCGTGTTTTTTTTTTCAAATTTAAGTTTTTCATGCTTGAATGACGTGTTGGTATGATATTTACGTATTACAATCTAAAATTGGAAAAGTTATGACAAAAAAACGAATTTGGCAGCTCACCACTGATCTTTTTGATTGACATTCGCGCGCGTTTATTTTTCAAATTCAAGTTTTTCATGCTTAAATGACGTGTTGATAAAGGATTGGCTTATTAGTGTTTAAAAGTAAGAGTTATGATAAAACATACAACCACGAACGAATGTTAGCAGCTCGCTACTGATCTTTTTGACTGACAGTTATGCGTGTTTACTTTTGAAGTTCATGTTTTTTTTTATGCTTGAATGACGTGTCGATATAGGATTGGTGTATTAGTGTTTAAAATTGAAACAGTAATGATGAATAAATATTGCGACTATTCTAATTTTAAGGGGTTCCAAGGGTTTTTATTATCAAATGACATTGGTTTGATTAGTTTTTAATATGAGGTAGCTCGTCTATTTATAATTTTCCCATATTTAAGTGAGGACATATAACTCTGCTTTTAGCAAACCTATATAACAATAGGCTTAAGATTTCCATAATTGAGTTTTCCTACTTGACCATGAAAAAGGTACGTGCTTTATTGGAAATCTGCTTCGTTCAAAACTGTAACAATATTTGCTTTTGACCGACGATGATGTTATCAAGGGGAAGTCGATAGAGAAAAGTCAGAAACTTTAAAACTGAATTATTTTAAGCTTCGTCAAACGAGCGTCAGACTCGAAGAAATTAAAGATTGAAGATTTTTAAAGCTGACCCACTTTTGGGGGATCGGACGGGGAATTGGAGCACTTTCTCTTCAAATAAGGCTCTTATCAAGACGTCGCTATACGTATATAGATATTATTCTCCCACAGTACAGAGCGGTAGTTTATTTGTTGAATACGTTATTCATCTATGAACTTAATAACTAAAAACGATTTTTTGATCTCTATCCCCTTTTGTAGAGTTAAACAAACTTTTTGGGGAATAAAAAACGGACTTTGTAACGGACCTAATTCCTCATTAAAACGTAAATCGACTCAAAAATTTAATAAAGACCGTTATGTTGTTTACTTTTCACGCATCTGGTTTTTCGCTGACACGCAGCTTTGATTTTTAAGTAGCCATAAGTAAGTATGCTAACAGTATTACGTAGCCAATATTTATTTGATAAATTTGGAATAGGCTCGGAATGAAACAATTACATATAGTGAGAGACCGTGGAATTTTATATGACACGTTACCGCTTTGCATTTTTTTTTTTTGGGGGGGGGGACTAATGACTAAAGGTCTAATGACGAACTTTCATTAATGTTGTTCTGTTATAACAGAACGTTACTGAAATATCTTCGTATAGTGGGTAGCAAGTCTCTTGAATAACATGTAATATTTTTGCATAATATAATTCCCTACAGTCAATTCTGCCCAGTAGTCGTTAGTTCCTTAATTAAGGGTCTGTTTTTATTGTTGAGTATATACAGCATTACCATTCCGAAAAGTTTCTAATTCAAATTCAAATTCTAAATGTTTTTAATTCATGAATCTAATTAACCCATGCATAACGTGACCGAATAAAAACCTAATTTGATTTCATATTTTCAAAACAGTGAAGTGGGGTTCCGCATCAGTGCCAAAGAATTTGATACCGGCACGGTTCATTTCATTTTGTCTAACAAATGATGCTGTCAAATGATCCATCACTCCCACATCGGATGCGGGTTTGAAAATATATCTTTCTTTAAGCACGGCGGTAAATTTTATTTAGCTGCTTTAAAGTTGTTATTAATGCAGCCCAACAGCCCTCCATAAAGGAGACCATTCAAATGGCAATCGGGACCATATGTTCATCACTATTATAAATATACTGCCCATATGGCTGCGCAACAGACTTCAATGAAAGAGAACATTCAAATCGAGATTGAGACTATATACTAATCGTTAGATTTGGCACTGTATACTTAGAATTGAAATCGAAAAATATTGAAAAAATCAAATAGGTGTACAGCTCAAATTACACTTACTAAGTGTTCAAAACGTGGTAAATACTACTCATTTCAAGGTACTCCCGTAGTGTGTACGGGCAACGATTAATGACTTACAACTGTGCATTCGCACTAAAGTATGACAGGTTGCGAGACCATCAAGTTAACGTAACCCATAATTTTATTCCGATCTTCCTTATTTTAGTTCTCTTTTGAGTATACGGGGACTGTCTGTGTTAGCCAAGTGAATATATCCCCTGTTCTTAGGTTTCAGTTCCTTTACACAACTTGATGTAAAGTAGGCGAACAAAATTAGTTACTTCCATATTGGTACACGTACTTCTGGAGCGCCCATTTGAATTCCCCGAAAGTTTCATTACTATCTCATTATTGTTTAGTTTTGCCCAATCGAAACTAATTCTAGCATATCAAATGTTACGGGGGAACCGAATTGATGGCGCTCCAGAAGTATGTACACAAATGGAAATAACTAATTTTGTTCGTCTACTTTGCATCAAGTTGTGTGAAAGGACTGAAACCTAAGGACAGGTAAAGAAGATTTTTTTCGGTGGTCCAGAAGTGTGTGTACCAATATGGAGTTTTGCCTTGATATTTTGTTTGCCTATTTTACACAACTTTGGGAATATTTACTTGGTTAACACAGACAGTCCCCGAACTCGTGATGGAACTAAAATACGGAAAATTGGAATTATGGCCTAATCCTAACCTGGCACACACACTATGGGAGTACCGAACACAGTCACAGTTGATTCCCTAATTATAACACCTGCAAAATCTTAATAAATTAATCAAATTTTTAACAGCACGTTGGTAAATTGCCAGTATTGTGGGTCGCAAATCCCTTGTGGCCTGTACGTAAATGTATCCAATGTCTCTCGGGGCCACAATACAATGCAAATGATCGGAAACGATTGATCTCCGTACATCTCACTATTTTAAATAGTATAAATGGTTCGAATAAAATTTAATATTCTTTTAATTTGCTAATTCCCTGCACCAGGGCTCCGTGAGCTATTCGTTCACGTATTTAAATACTGAATTGGCTAATTTTGCAACTCTTAAAAGAAGCAAAAACACATTAATAAAATTTGGCAACAGAAATTATTTCAAATATGACATTATCTAAAAGTTTGAACAGAATATTTTTATGACTCTATTGTGGGGCTGTAAATAATAGTCAATAGTATTTTCCAGGTTAGGCCATCGCGCCCACAAAAGGAATTGAAAATGATACTGTTGAGTTTAACGAACAATTCACATTGAAATATATCCGTTTGAATTCTTATCCTAAATATTTTAGCAAACGCGCTGCTATAATTTCAAATCCCATGAGTTTAAATGTGGCAACGGTAATTTATCTTGTGTTGTGGTTTTAGGAGTTTGAAAACGATACTGCTACAATGGTATCAAATTAACGCGGTATGAAACTGCGTAGTCGGAACGTGTGAGTTTTAAACGAGTCTCTGAATCGGAACTGGTTTCAAAAAGTCGTAAAGTAGTTACATCGGATTGGATTGGATTGGACTTTACATATTTATCCCGGGGGAGAGGAAAGCCGATAAGACGGCGTATCCATATGGCGAACCACGGCCTCTCGTCCGCTTACATCTCGTTGGAACAGGTGATTTTGTGATAAAAAGTCTCGATTCCAAGACGGTTTTAATGTTATTGAATTTAGCACCAATTGATTTTAAGGCAATTTTATAGATAATCTTTGATTACGTCCTGAATGGGACTTTCTTGATGCAACTTTGCGGCATTTGCAGTAAGGCATAAATTAATACGCTTTTTACAACACCATTTACTCTATTCTTGAACGATTTACTGATAATCGGACGTTTCCTGACTTGATATCAACAATCCTTTCATGAAATGAACCAAGCAAGATAAATGAAAATGCGTGCTCATACCTTGGAACACTTCGACAGTTAAGTACGTCCGTGTAGCCATTCTTTAAGATATTGTTAGATATCGGTGGCTACATTTGTCTAGCTTTGCTCGAACCAAAAGGCATGGGTAAGCGTTGTATGTAATTACGTAATTATAAAAATAAATATCGGCCTGTTCCCCAAATCCTGGGCTGGATAGGATAGGATTTACATATTTATCCCGGGGGAGAGGAAAGCTGATAAGAAGGCTTATCCATATAGCGAACCACGACCTCTCGTCCGGTTACCATTCCAAGTCGGGTATGGGATGAGTTATTTTGTTTGTTTTCGGAAGCATGGACTTGGTGGTGGAGGAAGCCGTAAACGGCCAGCGGTTACGTGAACCACCCAACGGCGGCGAGGAGTCCAGCAATCCTCTAGCACATAACTATCCCTACATGGGATTCGAACCTGCGAACCCACGCAGAGTAATTAGAGGTGCGGTGGCGAGCGTTTTCCTAGCGCTTAGCCCGTTGAGCCACACCGCCGCGCCTGGCTTCGCTGTTGGATCCATACCATGAGTCGCTAAATAAATGGATAGAATATACCAGCTTAAAATATAGCTCACGATATGGTAACACCATAAATTTGAAAATGTGAGCAAAGTTACTTACTTTTCAGCCATTATAGATTTGGCTCCGGGTAACGAACATTTTACATTCTTCATTTCACCAGTAGAAGCGCTGCATGTGAAGGTATTTTGCCGGCCATATTCTGCGGACACAATCTGAAATAATGATAAAATATATTATTGTTAAATGTGTGTATTACAAAAATAATAAATGGGTAGACATTTTTAATACTACACGCAAATACAAAAAATGATTTTTTCCTCAGAAACTGGAAAATTTCTTCACTGGATGTGGACATGCAGTAGACCATAGTACACGAATAACATAATCTCTTTCCACGAAATAGTAAACTTATTTTTTGACATTTCATTCGATCATAGTCTAACTTCTTTAGATAAAAAAGGATATGGTTTAATCATAGCGATTAATAGTTAAATATAGATTTACGTTGATTCATTATACTCCATTGAATGCCGTTTGACACAAGACGTGACACAAGGTACATGGAGCCCCCCCCCCCCCCCCCCCAAAAAAAAAAAAAACCAAGGTGAAGAAATTATTGAGAAAATATTTTAAAGATCATTTTTGTGAAAAGCGTTCTAGAATATTGATTCAGATTTTTATTTTTATCATGAAAGAATCAATGCACGGAAAAGTGGCAAAAGTGTACAACGGCATTAGAAAAAATAAATGCAAATATAAACATAAGAAATAACGTTATAGGGATCGCAAAGGTCTGTGGCAGTCTTCGGTTATTGAAATTTTTTGGGGACAATCATACTCAAAAACAAAAAGTTCAAAACAGAATCTAGGTTATTCGAATATATTATAGAGAAAACATAACTTTCATTAAAATCGTCCTTGATTACTGACATTAACAGAAGTTTGAGTGGTAAATACATTTTTAATTTTTATAGTTGAGTAATTGCGAATTTTTTTTTTTTTTTATATATTGATGACAAAGATATGCTGAGTAAACATCTTTTCGTCTAACCACAAACTCTTTGCACATCGACCTATGCTTTCAAGCGACGTTGCAAATCCCAGCAAAACCGCAAACAACTCATTATATACATTAACAGCTTTAAGTATTTGCCCGAACCCGCGTACATCCTATTCAAAGATTTTTGAGCTGTAAGTATTTTTCTAGAAACGCATAATTGATGAATAGGGTTTGAATTGAAAAAAGATGTTTTTCTATCGCTATTTATTTAGAGCCTTGCTCTGCGCTAATGTCAAATTTTTTATTCATTTAAACACAAATATTTGAAATTACGTGATTTTCATCGAAACCTAAAATTATTGAATTGGGTTTTAAATAGTTAACAAAAAAATACTTCTACGGATATCTGTTTTCTTTTTCTGAGTAAATGGGTGAAAGCGTTTTCATAACTGGCAGTTTGGTTTAGTCTTCCTTTTTACATATTATTATCTTCTCTTGTAAAGACTTGTTCTGGGTGATAATGTGAAAGTGTGTGCTTTCCAAACGCGTGTAATTTTTATTTAAAAATTAGCAATTACTCGTCAAGTATAGGTGGTGATCTATTCAGAGGCAATTTTTGAGTGAAATAAGACGCAAACAATGATTCTTCACATTGTCTAGCCTTGCTTCTAGTGTAGATGTCCAAGCCTGAATGAGCTAATTAATTGGGTAAAGATGGATTCTTCTTTCAAATAAATACAAATTCTGACAAATTTCCAGTTATTGGTAATATATGACGCAATCAATGACGTAATATTCTCACCTGAATGACGTCATGTCCAGGACATCTTAGTGATATTGGATACTTCTCGCAAGCCATTTCGTTCCTCATTGGAAATCCTCCAAATGCCCAGTCTGTGTTTGCTGTAAAAGAAAATAGGGTTTTAAAAAATTACTTTAAAAATCAGTGACTTCTTTACGATACTTATTCTGAAAGTAAGTTAGAACACTACAGAAAAAACAATTAAATTTAGCATTGTTCGTATGTGTCTGCATTTGGTTACAAAGGTTCTCTAAGTTACTCTCTAAGGTAAGTATGAATACATTAAACGGCAGTTCAAACATTTTGTACATTACATACAGGCCACATACCGAAGCTAAGAAAAATCGAATATATTAAGCATCAGTGATATATTGAATAAAAATACGCTTCTTTATGTGCCCAATTTGGTCACATACTGCTTGAAGAGTGTACTCAAAATGAATACATTACGCGGAAGATAACAAATTCTCGTCATTACATAAATACAGGACCCACTTGGCCAAATCCTTTCTTAAAAACAGAGTGTGAGACATCTCATGAAGAAATCATAAAAACTTATTTTTTACGACGTTGAAAATAATAAGTTTAACAAATTGTCTCTTTAATAGCGGTATATTATTTGTGATAAATATATCATTTTATGATCTCATAACAAGTCATAAATATTTACATTCTTTCGTCATCTTGACGTCAAAAATAATGGTTTTATAAATGGCTCTTCAAATATATTTACGCATTTGAATACAAAAATAGTCAAAAGTTTCGTGATTCGAAATACCTCATAAATTTTAGGTGATTCAAGAGTAGTTCTGCGTACCAACACAAATGTATTTTTTTGACGTCTTGTATGACCAAAGTCAAATTATTTCAGACACGTATATCTGAATACATTTGTGTTAGTATGCAGTACATTTCTTGAATCACTTGAAATAGTCATCTTAATCCTAGCTAGTGCTTCATTGCATTACATGCGGACACACCAGCGCAAAAAAAATAGGAGTAGTTGGTCTCGCACATCCAAATGATAAATCATAAATTGACGTGATTGTTCAGACTGAATGGGCGAAAATCTTGGTTAATTTACCAGCGGGTAGAATCTATCTTTAAATGATCAAAAATTCCACCGTTTTTACTATCAAAAATACTACAATCTATATCTTTTTAAGGCACGTTTGAAAGCTTCGAAGTTTCGTCAAAATTGATGAAATCGCGCATACAATTGTTTCATAAACAGGCACCGGCCGTCCTTCCTATCTTGAAAAACATATTTTTTATATCCCAGGTCAGGTAGATTAGAATAGATATAAAACTATTAGGCAAATAGTTGAAAGCAGGATTTCATTATCTCATAAAAAACATCGTCATTTCTATTTGGAAAAACACAATTTCAATCTTCCAAAACATGATTAAATTAAGTTGGGAGAATTATTAACATGAAACTTTTATGAGTGTAAAACCAGAGCAATATTGTTAAATCAACGCCTAAAGGCATTATATTATTCATGTGATATTTTCAATGTTGTTCGCTTTTTTTTTTCGATTTGTGTGAGCTGGGTTATAAATTATATGTTTGTGCAGAACTACTAAAAAACGGTAACATAAACTGTGAAATTACTGTGAATGTGGATAATTAGAATTAGGCTTAGAATGATTAGGCTTTTTGGTAGATTTTGTGATAGTATATAATTGCAGGAGTTGATTCATTACACAGGAGTAACTGCTTGTATAGCAGGCCTTGTTCATAGTCGAAAATGTATCAACAGGTGCCGTTTGGGCAACTTCGATTCAAACTCAGAACCCCCAAATCTGTGCTGAAATCGAACTTGGCTGATTTGGAGCTTATACGAGACGTTTTCACAGATTTCTCACGAACAAAGACATTGACCAGCAATCTCTTGGAATCTTTCCGTTTCTCATTGCCTGCCTTATTTATTATACCCGTGGGTGAGGTGACATGCATAGACGTTTAAATCAAAATCGTTACCTTGAAGCGACAACCATAGTTAATTCCAGCGCTCAAACAACAAGGCTGCGCAGACCGCCGGTAAAATATACTTCAAAGAATACATTAATAATTCGACCGTTTATTATCAATATTTGTTCTGTCGTCTCGTCTTGTGGTGATGTAAGATATTAAAGTACTTCATCTTTTCTTTTGATTTATTACCCTAGGTAAAGGATGGTCTTACAAAATAAGGCTTACAGCTAATGAAGCCTTGACTGCTTTGCTGAAGTTTTTAATCCGAAGTTTGAAGAGTTTCTGGTTGTAGTATTGCGAATTAACTTTTTACAGACTCTAAATTGCATTATATTATTAGCTGGGGATTTAAAGTTGTTTGTATGTTTTAACTCTACTGGCTAAGTGGTTGCCTGCAACGTCCCAACATCATCACAATGCTATTTACTTATATAGTTGTGAGATTACAATACGTAATTTGATGTAAGTATGGATATACGACCCCAACTGTGTTTTGAATAGCCTCCTCCGTAAAATTCTTAAACAGGCTGCTCTGTTTGACACCAGTTAGATACTTAGGGCAGCTGAGTACACTCCAATTTATATTTTAATCTTTAGCTCAGAGCTCTAAATTTTAAATTAAGCAAACATGAAGCCACTAACATTCTATTCATTTTAAGTTGAATGTAAAGTTATAATAACTTTTGCGAAAATTAAAAAAAATCTCTTTTCAAGGACAATTATGTGACTAAACAGAAAGTAGAACAAGGACACATAAAATAAAACGTAATTGAAAACAAAATTCTTTTTATAAATAAATCAATTTGGGCGCTCTTGACACAAAAAAGCGAATCCATTAGAGAACTGTTCAAACATAGAGACAATCTGATTCATATCCCAATATGAAAATTCAAGTGAATCAATTTTAGCGTTGTAGGCACAAAAGTTATGCAAAGACAATGTGATCCATTTAAAAACGAAGATGAATGAACTTCTTTTTGTCACTGCTAGGGCTCAGAAAAAGGACATAACATCGGACTTTTTTGTATTAATTTATCAACCAGTGCCCTGTAGACACAAAAGCGAATCCATTAGACAAATTGGCAAACATATGGACAATGTAATTCTTATTCCTAAATCGAATTTACCAGTAATATTCATCGATCCGATCTAGGAATGAATAAACATTAGATTCACGTATTAGCTCTTATTGGGATTTCCGCTAGAAAAGCATTGGCAAATATAACGGATTTGAATGACCAACTGAATACATTTAAATTATACATTAGTCACAAACAGAATAATATTGCGAATATATAGCGCAACCAGCGCTAGAAAAACGATTAAATTTGCCCGGAATCAAATTTTAATACCTCACCATCCCATACATGATTTGAGTAACCTAATTCCATGGTTAGCAAAGGGTGCGACGAGTTGCTAAGTGCGCCACAAAAGTTAACTTCAAAGGCATGAAGTACACATTACCGATCACAAAATTGAATTTCATTCAAAAACAGCATTGTTTTGTGTAAGTACGCCGTGAGTTGTTTTCCCGGAGCTCAGGAAGTATGTGCACCAAGATGGTGCACAACCTGAACATGATATGTGTACTAGGTTAGGGTTCAGGTTGTACGCAATATTGGTGCACATACTTCGGGAGCGCCGTTCAACCTGATAATTTGGCGTCACGGGAACAAAAAGTTTGGGAACCGCTGAAATACTTCATAGAGCTTGGCTTCCATATAAATTATAGACGGCATGTAGAACTGCCATACAGAAGAACGGTTGATTTTGTTGGCAAAACCCGTTTAATCTCACGTCAATAGAGAAAAGGGGGACGTTTCTATATATTTCGTTTCTTGAATATCGCTTATCGTTCATCAGAAAATGTATATTAGATATTTGGGTGTTGCAAATATCAATTTATACCTAAAAGTATAAAAAGTCAATTAAGGTAAAAGAAAATGACAAAAAGCGCGTAGGAAAAATCGGGTATTTCGTCAGAACTCATTTCTATATGAAAAAGAGAAGCATGTTCGGACAATTGATATCATAAACCTCTTAATTAGACGTTCACGCTAAAACTATAGCACTAAAACCCAGAATGGTCACCAACAATAGAATTATGTCATTTCTAAAACATAATATTTACAAGAAAATGGACATTTTGTACCTTTTGTGTCGCATAAACACATTTACATCGACGCCATGGAACTATCCATTAAGGAAAAACAAACATATGGCTGATACAAAGAGGATTCCAATAAGCATTAAAGTGTGGGTTGTTAGGAGGAGGTATTGGATAAATAAGGCTTATTGACGTTTTTGAATAAAAAAAAAATGAAGTCAGAGAACTCGGGAACGCGTCCGAGCATTTCGAACTTTACTATGTAAGATATACTGCCGGCGAGATTATTTTTAGGATGGAAAAAACTCATCTCTGGGTACAGCTACAAACTACCACTGAAAAGTCAAGTGATAGTAAAATTATTTAAAAGTTGTGGCGTTCAATTGATTCAAAAGTGAAGGGACACGGACGACCAAAGGTATACGAGCACTCTATCAATCTATTCTGTTATTTTAATTCTTATAATTTAAATACCAAGGCCATTCAAATCGGCGCTTCCGTAGTATGTGAACTAAGATGGCGGACACGAGAACATAGTATGTGCACCAGGTGAGAGTGAGTCCATAATTTCATTCCAATTTTCCTTATTTTAGTTTTATTACGAGTTTTGGGACTAGCCAAGTGACTCCCGTAGTATTTGTACCTGAAATTATGGCATAACCCTAACCTGGTACACATACTACGTGTTCACATACTGCGGGAGTACATCCAAATCAACTGGTACTAGAATAAGTATCATGCAAAGCCCAACGTACCGAATATTGTGTAGACGCCGTAGGTTTTATGGTTTTTACGGCATGTTCGCAAAGTATTGGTAAATACCCATAAAAATGTTTGTCCCTGAGATCATAAAAGTAAGACAACGCTAGGGGTTTGTAAATATTGATTATTGGGCAACGTGTGTACACGGTGTCCTGACAGTTTAGAACACGGGTCGGCAACCTTTTGTCGCTCGCGAGCCAAAATTAAAGGTTGCAAGTCTTGACGGAACGCCATATTTTTAGACAGTTAGAAAA